AATCTTTGGCCTAGAGAACACCCCGCGATTGATTTTGAGTTCAAAAAGTCAAAGGTCAAGGTCATAAATTCATTCATTCTACACAATATTTTTAAAAGTCTTCGAGCTTTTTCAATTAAAATTAATATCATAACTCCTTATGGCTTAACGTAGGCCAATCAGCAGCGAGGGTTCTTTATCGTGTCAACGCCAATTGTGCCACGGGACCTCGGTCTTTTAAGGTCTCATCCGAAGGATCCGCAACTTTCACTTCAAAGTGCCGAGCACTTAGCGAAGAAACAGTTGCTTCCTATTTTATCGACTTGGGTCAGTCGCGGCCGTGATTCGAACACACGACTTTCCGGTCACGGAGCAAGCGCTCTACCGACTGAGCTACCGTGACGCTATGGCTTGAAGAAGATTCCCTAAAAAGACCCGAGATTTTGCCAGAAATTTCACAACACAACTCCTCATGGTCTGAAAAACCCAAAGGTCAAGATCAGAAATATATATTGCATAAGTACGTATATAGTTTTCAGATGATTAATTTAGCTGTTCGGTAACCCTTTGCAATAAAACATTTGGTCATGAATTTCTTTAATTAAATATGGAGATAACAAAAAGTATTCAAACTCAAAGGCAATTTAAACAATTCTGGAGCAGAGCAAACATGGACCTCCAAAAACAGGTGGGATCAGGTGCTATGGAGGAGTGAGCATTCCCTGCCGACCCGTCACACCCGCCGTGTGCTCCCTGTCATGATCGGGAAAAACGAAAAAATCCGTAGAAAATTCAGTGTGTAAATAATGTCCTAACAATTAGTATGAAAAACGTCAGTCAGCATTTGACTTAATGATAGGTTGTATTTGCTTACAAGGTCATTGTATTGACCATAAAACTTGCGAAATGACGACTTCAAAAGAGACTATTGATATCCTTGTTTTATCAACTTGTTTGTCAATAGCTTGCCTCGTTTTAGAAATTGTTCATACGTAGAGCATGCTCTTGCGTATCGAATCAACTAGGAGACAAAACCCCATATGCAGGTGATAAGGGTATATAGCTACATAAGTAAGGGAAGTTGACAAAAAATTATATATGACAACACACACACACACACATATATATATATAACAATACCGGGTTTTCAAATTCTGGTTTAAAATAATAGAGTCAGAATTGTATTTTGAGATCATATGAGAAAATGCTTAGGAGGAATGTGAACAACCAATCAGTAAAGTCACTACCTGGGTTTCTAAAATAAAGGAAAAATTATTCGAAATTGGTTTACGATATATTTGGTCTGACCAAGATAAAATTAGTTGTAACAGCCATTTTTTGATAATATAAAGCAAATAATTATTGACACTTTTGTACAGAATCCATGGCCGTAGGAACCGGGGGGGGGGGGGGAGGGGGCCGTGTCCCCCCCCCCCCAATAATTTTGCCGATATATTATACACCTATTTACTGGCTATGAGGACAATAGCAAGTTTATCGTCCCCCAAGACAGCGACTATTTCCCGAGGGGCAGCCGAGGGAAATAGTTGCTGTCGAGGGGGACGGTAAACTTGCTATTGTCCGAATAGTCAGTAAATAGGCGTTTTATTATACCGAAGCCGACTTTACTTTTGTTACGTCACAAACCAGATACGTCGCAATACAACAACCCATATAGTTTTGAGATGAAAAACGAGGGAAATGGAATGCTTCCGGTGAATAGTTTGATGACTATTTCACCATGGGCAAATAGCACAAAAACTATTCCACGGTAGGGGCTGTTTAGAAAAAATAGAAGATTTATTTGTCATACTTTTATGTAGAAAAAAATTCACAGAGGTGTAATAAAGATTACTAATACTATAGTAAACTTAGATATTACTATATGCTTGTGCCCCCTCAATAAAAACGCCTGATGACCCTTTTTTTTCTTTTTATTTGTCAAGGAATTTTTGGTAGTTGACGACCTTTTTTTTTTTTGCTTGTCGGGAAATTTTTGGTAGTGCCCCCTCAACAGAAAATGTATGGCTGTACCCCCCCCCCCCCAACTGAAATTGCTTCCTACGGGCCTGATCAATCTCCTTGCAGATATCAATAATTCATCTAGATGTATGCTAATTAAGAACATTAATGACCACTTTATACTGCAATATTATTTAGTAAAAGCTATTCCTAGTATTTATAAAAAGCAAATTAGCAAGATAAGACTGTCATCAAATAATTTAGCAATTGAAAGTAGACGCCATAAAAATATCCCACGAGAAAACCGAATATGTGAACTGTGTAGATCTGAAATTGAAGACGAATTCCATTTTGTTTTAAAAAGTCCACGATAGAAGGACTTATACGTGTAAAATATATTAATTTTTTTTTCTGGGAAAAAGCATCTATGTTTCAATTTATACAATTATTATGTGCAAAAAAATGTTAAAGAACTTTGTAATTTTGGAAAATTTCTGTACCATGCTTTTAAAATGCGTAATAAATGTCATACTGTATTATAATCATGACGATATTAAACTATAAACGTACCAGATAGCTTTATCGTTTATTAACTTTTAATACGTAGCATATGTTTAACCCTGATGATTACAAGTAGGCCTTGCTATCAAAAGACAACAGATAAAAATAGACGGGAGGATTTCCCTTACGAATATTTTATGAACGTTTATTTTTAACTTCGATCACTTGTAAATAAAATTGCGCAGTTTCCTGGTGACATAGCACCAAGATGTCGACTGAACAGTTGTGTTCTCTGCACGCCGCTCAGGCAGATTATCAGTGCCTGAACCACAAAATCCCCATGTGTGCAGAGTGCAAGTTTGCTGAACAGCATAAATACTGTCCAAAGGACGCCATTGGAATAAGGGAGGAATTCCCACCCTCCGACACTGAGAGCGGACACCATTACGATCAATGCATAGAAAACTACAGGGAGGCCTTAGAACTTCAGACCAAAAGTTCAGATTTGCAAGCACGGTCACCAGCACGCGTGAAAGAGAGCTTGGACACAATATTCAAAGAATTTAAATCGAAAATAAATAATCTGCAGGAGGAAACAGAAAAATGCATTGATGAAACCAAAACAACGTGTTCGAGGAAATGCTCAGAGATACAATCTGCATCAAGTAATATATTGACAGAAATCGGGAATCATATGAAAACACTCTGTGACAACTCCCAAGATGTAACAAATATTTACCACCTCACACTGCAGTACAAGAATATAATAGATAATAAGCGCAAAGAACTGGATACATGTGACGTGGAATACTTGCTTAGTTGGAAATTAGCTTGCTTACTTGATCCAGAGAGAATCATAACATTCCAACAGGCAGTACAGACAAGTCAACTGGTAGACAGTATCTACCCTCCAGTGGCGGATCCAAAACTCCAACTCATCCGAGAACTGGATGCCAAACTGCCCTCGGAGAAATCTGCATCCATAACTGGCTGTGCTATACTCAAAAATGGCATGATAGCTTTAGTTGACAATGCAAACTCTTCAATTAAACTGTATGAAGCGAAGGGTTACAGTGGCACTTCCCTAGTAATGGAGAGTCCTCCATTTGACATCACTGAAAGGGATCAAGGTTTCTGCGTTACTTTTCCAAAACTATGCAAGATTCGCTATTTTACTCTCTCTTCCGATAATACAGTTAAAGCAAAAGACATCATTGATACAAAAGGAAAATGTTTTGGTGTTGAGTACAGAGGGCAGAAATTGGTTGTATCCTGCCATTTGTCTGGGTATAAGTTGATTGGGTCTCTCTGTTGGCAGTTTTGCGTGTACAGGTGTGACAACCAGCTTCTTCGAGTTGTTGAGAAAGACAGATTTGGCAACTCTTTCTTTATGGCTAATGGATACTTTGACTACTGCCCTATCAGAGATCAAATCTTGTTTCTGGGAAATGATTGGATAGCAAAAAAATTCCATATTACTGGACCATCACATTTAGAGTCTCATGAACTGGGATCCAAAAAGGGTGAGAAAATACTAGCACTAAGGTCTCGAGGAAGTACCATCATCATGTGTCACAAGAAATCTGAGTTTCTCTCCTCCAAGTGTGCCCTCCTTCTACAAAGCTCTTTGCAGTCAGCAGCTAGCAGCACAGACTTGACTGTAGAAGACCCAGGACCCATACACTTCAACATGAGGTCTCGAGTTCTTGTTGTTAGTGAGAAACATCAAATGTTCAATGATCGAGGCAACATTGCTTATGTTTATACATTCTAACTTTAAAAACAATCAATTATGTAGCTGATAAATAATCAACCTATTGATAAACTCAATGACTGCATGCTTAACTAACCGTTCTAAAAAACATCTGATATAAAGGAAGATAGGTTAAGGAAACAATTCATTCACATTCAAGTATTCATTGTATGCACTGTCAAACTTCATATTTCTTTAAATGCCTTTATCAAAATTACACGCATGTATTGACAAAGCTTATCAAATTAAACAATAAAATCATCACTAGTTATTTCAATGTATTCAATTGTGTTTTCCCTATTATTAATTTGACAGATATCTTTTTAACCTTAGCTATTGTTGATCTACCTGTGATACAAACTATCAACAAAACTTCAAAATCATTAATATCCAACTCATTAATGTATTTATGATTATTACTTTTCTTGATTTTGTTCTTCCAGACTAATGTATAAAAGATCAAGTGTGTAACTCAAACAAATTGAGGAGTGGACTCCTGCTTTGGATAATTTATATTAAATAACTGTCAGGTTAACTCATTGTGTGCCCTGACTTCTAGCCGCCTCTATATGAATGGTCTTACCTTTATGTACAGGGAAGTTTGATCAAAGGATGAATTATATCAGAAAAGCCCTATTTTAATTTTATAAAATGAATTTATCATCACTATTCATTGTATTCAAGTAAAATCCCTTTCATATTTGTCTCAAATGTACAAGAATATACTTCTTTAAGAAATTAGATAGGATAAGAGTGTTGTAAAATATTCATCACCCCTCTAATTTTAAACCATGACAAATACTCATTGACACTGCTACTTTTTATTTTGTACATTCTCATAATAACTGACTAGCAAAACCAGGTTCACAATCAAGAACATGTATATTTACACCATCTCAGTCAAAGCCCTGGACCTTTATTTTGGCCCTCACTTACACATAGAGTAGAGAATTCGGACTTCTTTCTCGTAAGTGTCATCCTCAGGACAGGGCGTCTCTAGAATCATGGGAATGTTGTTAAGTCGAGGGTCATTCATTATCCGCTGGAATCCAGCTTTACCAATCCTACCTTTCCCTATGTTCTCATGCCTATCCAGGTGACTCCCAACTTCAGCTGAAATCACACAGTCCAAAAATAAATAATACAAGATGCTAGTCCATTCCTCAGGTTTTGAAAATCAGCAGTTAAGTAATTAAAATGCTCACAAAAATGTTTCACTGAATTCACAAAATAATGTGAATATACATGTGTAGATAGTTTTCCATAGGCCTGAATTTAGCAAGAGTCATGTCCTGTTGGCTGCCATATTGGAGGTCCCCTCATTAATTCAACCAATTTTAACTTTTTGTACTGGCCATTGTGGGGTAGGAAGCATTTTTTACAGAAGGAATATACAGTTGCTAAGGATAAATAACACAAAAAAACTTTTTTCACAAATCAGCAATATTTCCCATGGACGTATGTTCAAATAGGTAACCTGAACAATGTTTGCCAGGTAAAATGGGAGAAATTTGTTAAGACTTTGTCACAATGTTACATAATTGTTCAAAATTTTGTATTGAATTACATAGAAAATCGTATAGCTGAGTACCAAAAAAACCTTAAGACTTCTTTATATTTTAGGAATTTATTATTCATGTAATTTTAATCAAAATCATTCAAAAAATGTATATCAATCCATGCATCAAATTTTTGTTTGTGTTATGTATCCTTAAAGCCTTCTTTATTGAAGAATTTTGAAGATTTTTCCACAAATATTTCTGCTACACCCTCTTAAATTTGGTAAGACAAAGAGGAAAAATCACCAGGTTGACCTCTAAGATATCAGCTAAGGGAAATAACTCAGAGAGAAAATACATTATAAGAAAACTATCTATACCCATGTTATTTCTTTGAGTTAATCATTATCATGATTATAGTTTACAATTATAGTTTAGAATTATCAAATCTCAAATATATTATCAGGAAATGTAAATAAAAGCACCAATTATGCATTTTCTCATGAAAATTGACCAAAAAATATTTTTGGATAAAACACTTTTGATATCAAGGCATTTAGAAAGAATTACATTTTTGAAAAAAAAATATTTATGCCTTATTGCAATTTTACTAACTTCAACTGTTACATTTAATATACAGAGTGTAAAAGCATTTGATTATCACTGCAAGATAACACAGATCACTTCCTATTTCATTTCATGCTAATAAATATTGCTATCTTAAGCAAGATTAAAGGAAATTCAGTTTCTCTAAAATGTATTTTTGGGGGGGTGTACATTTATGGGGTGGAAAATCTATATCATAAGACCATTTCAAAGACTTCAAAGAACCTTGAATCATTTCAAGATGCATGCAATGAGCACAGTTGCATGAAAAAAAAATTTCAATAAATACTAATTTTTAGAATTATTGTTCCTGGCTGAGAAGCAGTCATTTTTTAAGTTATTGCAAAGTGCCCCTCATAAATTTCCAAATTTTACATGTGTGTTGTCATTACTCAGAATTCTTTACTCCACATTTTTCTGATTAAGTTCAAAAATTATTTGCACCAATTATTTTGAACCCTACAGTGGAAGGGCTTGACAAAAGCATAGTTCACTTGCCATTTCTACCTGATCTTTCATTTTAAGGTCATCCAACCAGTGATCTGGTTCATGGATTAAGAGCAATCTTGAAAAGGGTCTCATTTGCCCTTGAAAACTCAATACTGTGTAATTATACAGGACATTAATGTCTAAAATATCATTTGATCCATGATGACTACAGATATATCAAAATAAACACTGAAATTTTCTTTTTAATCAGCATATACATTTTGATGTTTTGAATTGCAATAGTTCATATTTTTATTAAGATTTCTTCCAAATTGGCCAACTTTTAGGTCTGTACTTAAATATTTCGAACAGAGAATAATCTCAAATTCAACTAGAAATATGTCCATAGGACATGAATACCCGTCAAGGGTATATTAGTAATGCAACATGAAAATTTGTATAAGTGTATGAAGTTTGATGATAATACCTTGCATAATTTCTTTAAAATTGAATTTTAAAAAATTGGATATACAGTCCCAGAAACAATCTACTTTCCCACTTGAACAGTGAGCGAACGGTGAGTGAACGATGTGTGAACGCTAAACGCAATTTAGTGAATGGTTGGTGAACGCTGAACAGTGAGCGAACACAGAACGCGAACAGAGCGCAAACGTGAGTGCAAAGTGAACGGTGAATGCAAGATGAACGATTTATTCAGAATGTCTCCAATCTTTTCCTTACATTGTATACATTCTATTTTATTCTATTGTTAGAATTAATACATCTAAATAAATTAATTTTGGAGTGCATAGCATTAGTATACCATGTTAAAAAATTGTTTAGGACACTTCCAGAATAAAACAAATAAATAAATGTTTCCACATTATCGTAAGAAAATGACACATGCACATTAAGTACGCCTATTAATTGTGTTTCTTACAATATTTTCTGCACATATATATTATGTTTAAATTAAGCTGTTTAGTCACAAAAGATTTTTCGCTGTTAAACATTGTTACTGATACAAAACTCTGTAGTCATAGTAGAGAAAATTACAAAGATACATTTGTTTCCATACAGAGGCGATTCTGGGTAAAATACATGTAATAATAAAAAAAAAATCACAGTTAAAAATATTTTAAAAAGGTCCTTGAATGTGTTACATAAATACACATGTATTCTAAAATTTTCATGTAATTATATATTTATGTGACATTTCTATTTTGAACAATGATTTTTTGAGCAGATTCAGATTCTACTTTAGACACCTCCCCCACCCCTTTCCCCTTCATGACATGTGAACAAGAGGATACAAAGAGGCATTCATATTATTTGTTATAGATTTGAATTTCAGTAATTGATATTTTAGTAATATGCTACAATACTTATATATAAACAGACAAATAATACAGAGAGAGAGAGAGAGAGAGAGAGAGAGATTCCGTCTTAGAACCCCCCCCCCCTTTTCTCAAATGCATGCATCTGTATCAAGCAAAATTTCCTAAATTTTATATATTTTTAATGTATCAGGCAGTGAAATAAAAAACAATTCTTTATCAACAAATCAATTTGTTTGGCAATCATAATCTCTTTTTTTCCTGCTTCAAGTTCACAAAAAGTCCCCTGCTTGTCCTGTCATTTCTATATGAATAAATAAATAAATGAAATGCATTAACATAAACACTTGGGCCACATGAGTTTGATCCTTGCCAATTCAAATACCACCGTCTGCACGTGTATACAGAAAGACCATTGATTTATGACTATTTTAGAATGTTTATAAACTGAAATTTTAAAGTCACAAATCGCATTGACTTCCTTTTTAATGTGAACTAAAATAAAATGCAAATACTGACGAATCGGGAGATTCGGGGGGGGGGGGGGGGGGGCTCTTTACTATATCGAATGGTAAACATATATATAGTTACAGTGATGAAGGATTTTTTTTTCCTCTCTTACAATAGACTTTGACTACATCTGTAAAGAAAAAAACCTTATACCCTTTCACCTACACCAAAATTTGCTTTATTTATTTTTTTTTAGTGTATTACAATTTAAATAAATAATTTTTTAACCACACTATCAATGTACATCGCTCCGTAGATATTTAATCCGTAATACTATCTATAATTCTAAGAATTAGTCATAACATGTACATGTATTTCTATAGTAACTGAAAAACAAGAGGCCCAAGGGCTTTAACGGTCACCTGAGTATAATACAACAATTTAGAGGATCCATAGAGTATAAAATGAACTGAAAGGTGAAGCTTTGTTGCCCAAAAGCAAGAAAAATAGGGTGATCAGGATCAACAAAATTATTAGTCTAGTATTCATTAACAGTTCATAAATTAGATTCTAATCTGTTCGCCATTTATCACTCTCACGAGACAGTATGTAAACAAACTATCAGTACTTCTGTACTCTTTTAATTCCATGTTGAAATCCCTTACATTGGCCTCTCTTGGTCTTTGATGAACATTTAATAAGACAAGTTATTTTTGTCTCATTTTTATTTATCTATTAGTACGCATTTCTTTAAGGTGTTTCTTTTTGCATTATGAAGGATTCTGAGCTATCCTTCATTTTTTCTATCATTTTCGTTCATTGGCTGTCTTCCTGGATGCTGATTAGTTGAAAATAAACAACATGTACATGACAATGGGTAACCAGGTGTTACGCAGGAGATTTAACAAACCGCGGTGCAATCAAATTGTAATAGACGATTGCTATCACTTCTCCACATAGTCTATTTATAGCCCATTTCCAAGAAATCTAAATATAAGTTTTTAACTCTCTACAGCCCCTAATATAGACAAGACATGCTCCTACCAAATAAAATGTACATTTGGTCGTTGATTAACCTGTAATTTCAGCAGGGACATACAGTACCAACCAGACCCAACCTGACACCAAAGCAGTCCCCGGGACTGCTTTGGGACCGCTGTGGGACTGCTCTGGGACCGCTATGGGACTGCTGTGGGACTGCTCTAGAAAGCAGACCCAGCAGTCCCTGGGACTGCTTTGTTCACTCATGTGTGAAAAAGGTTCTGAGTGACATGATAGCTCCGCCCCTTGTGTATTCTGAATTTGCAGCTCCTCGTTGTTGTTTTGTTTACTTTCTGCAGAGAGGTGTTTAAGATAAAAGCAAATATAAAAAAAACAAGTATTCTTTCTTACAAAAATTAAATAAATAGAGATAGTTATACATGTAATTACTAAATGTCTTCAGAGGGCTGTAAATTTACACAATTGTAGTCTAGAATTTATTTTAAGAAAATAAAAGTAGTTAAAAAGGGAAGTCAGGGGATGATTTTTATCCCTTAAATTAAACTTCAATACAGGTGTTTGAAAAAAAAATTATCTAGGCCTACTTAATAAATTAATGCTGTCAAACTACGTATGTACTCAAAGTTTGCATAGCACTATTTAAAAAAAACAAACAAACTTGTCATTTCAGTAAAATACATGTATTCAGAGGAACGTACTGTACTGGATTTTTTTTTCTTAATTCAAAAAGCTAATACCATGCTTAAAGTGACAGTACGGCGCATCTCATCAAAAAACTGACTAGATAAAA